ATTTACAATTTTGTGATGGAATTTAGGTGGCTGACGCGTCAGAGTGTGTCGTTTTACCTCTGTCTTCAGATACGAGGCTTAAAAAGCAAAACAAACCAAAAACCTAACCGTTGTTCCGTATTCCTTTTCCTCAACTTAAAAACTTGGAAAAGGTAACCTGTCGGAGGCTCATCGGTGCTGAAGTCAAGTTGCTCTGGTGTGACCTGGGCTGGTCAAAACAGACTCCCTCCTTGGTCCTCATATTTGAGGCCATTTAAAGGTCAGCGGTGTAGACTGCACAGTCAGCTGCTCCCATGCGCTAATGACCCCCTGCTAACCCCCTGCGACATGGTGGCGCCCCAAGGTCCTTCCTCCATAGGGCACTGGTGAGGGCTCATCTTCCGTGCGTGTCCACACAGGGACTCAGGGAGCTGGAGACATGTCATTTCCGGGCGTGTCCGTGAGGGAGATTCCAGAAGGGGTGAGCGTTGAGGCCGTAGACAAGGGGCACATAAAGGGGGCCCTGACCCCTGTGGGCAGGTGAACAGCGCGAGAGGTGGGAACAAGACCGAGTCCGCACCCTCTTCCTCACCCGGGCCACCCGTCCTCTCCTGCCCCCGGACACCGTGCTCCCGGTTCCCAGGCCCTCCGCCCCACCGATCCCAGCACCGGCGACACTGCGTCTCAGCTTGCAAGCCACACATTGAGGGACTTCTCAGCCCCCACAACCACGTGAGCTGATGCCTACGTACATATCCACGTGCACCCTGTGGGTTCTCCTCTGGAGAACCTGACAACACCTCGCGACGGCCCGCAAGCCTGCGGCCATGGCCTCCATAACGTGGATAACATCTCATACCCAGCTTGAGACAGGACTCAACGAGAAAATAAACATGCATCTACCATTTCCTGAGAAGTGATATAGAAACCGTGTGAAATGTAAACCAAAGGACTGCCCCTTACTAAGGAGAGGGGGAAAAATACCCACCTACCAGCATCTATGCTTGTCTGTCTGTCTGTCTGTCCCTACCTGTGTATCTATCTATCTCTATCCTTATATCTATCTATCATCTACCTATCTATGGAACAACCACAGTTAGGCGTGCAAAGGAAGCTTTAGCAAGAAGAATCTCCGGACAGGCTTTAGGAAGCCGGGGGGACTCACCGGGCCCCGAAAGGTGTGAACACACACCTATGTGTCTGAGCACAGGTGCGGCACCGCCCATGACTGACGCCGCTGACTTCTTGGCTCCCTGGTGGGCAGATTGGCTGGTGAAGTCTACACAGCGTTAACATCCCCTCTGCTGCCTGGTCCCTCCACCAAGAAGGGAGGTCTGTCCACTGAAATGGGCTAAGGAGGGGGGGATATCTACAACCTTTCCCACTGGGAGGCCCTGCTGCTTCCATCCGGTCACCCAGAGCCCTGTGTGGCCACGCCGCCCCCGTCAGCTCCCTCCTGGAGACATTGCCTCCCGAGTGGTGTCCAACCCAGAGGGCACCTCCAGGGAAGGGACCTTTAGAACAGGTGTGGGGGGCACAGTGCGGAGATGTTCTAACGTCCACAGAACCTGCGCCCTCCTCAGGCCACACGTGACAGCAAGCCCACGCGAGGCCTCGCCAGCACACGGTGCTGATCCCGCGGAACCTCCCTGGATGCCAGCTCGAGACCTGGCCACAAACCGCCGGTCTCCCGAACAGCTGTGCTTTGTCACCAGGGGAGGGAGGGCCTCCATGCAGGTGAGTCCTCCCATCAAGGGGGTAACTGTGGTCAAGGTGGCGACTTTCACAGCCGTGAGCCTGAGCAACGGGCCTGCCCAGCCACACCGGGTCCCCGTCGGTCACAGGGCCGGCTGCTTTGTCTGGGGTCCGTCCGCACCGTGGACAGGGGAGTGTCTTTGAGAAGACCTCCATGGGACACACGTTCTAGGATGTACTGTTGGGTAAAGCTCCCATCCTCGTTCACACGGGTTCTGGGCTGAGTGACGGCTGGGCGGCTAGATGTAGAAGAATTGTCATTGTGGGAGAGTTTTTAGGTTGACATGTCTGCGTCTGAAAATTGGGCCCCAGTGAAATGCTGGAGAACAGGCAGGGCCTGAATGGGGCAGGAGAGACAGCACGGGGACTGGCCACCATGGCCCGTCAGGCCCGGGCAGGGGACCAGGATGGCCCGGGGTCGGCCACTGCTCAGGTCGGCACAGCTCAGGGCCTGGCCAGGAGGACACAGAACATCCGACGGCCATCGCCAGTCACCCCGCCGCACCTAGGTCACGGAGGGCGTCTCACGGACGGCGCGTCAGAGCATGCGGGTGCCAGGCTCCGCGGAACCACTTGGCACGGACTCTCCTCGCACGTCCCCGCGCCCCGGGCCTGGCTGATGGGAGTGGACGGACTTCCCCGAGGCCCACGTTGGGAAAGGGCCAGAGTGCACACCCCACGCAGGCAGGCCCCCCATAAGCAGAGGACGGTCAGGCGGATGAGGGAGGGCCCAGGTGAACACAGGTGAAATGTAGCACCCGCCCGGAGTTCGGTCCTTGGTCCCCGGATCGGAGTGCGTCAGCGGCCCCCAAACCCGAGACCCACCAACAGGCTTTCCGCGGCCTCCCCCCTTCCCAGAGGCCCCCTGCTCTGGCTGACGTCCTGCCAGCAGCGGTTGGGAGCGAGGCTGGGGTCACAAATCCGTCCACCCGCACGGCCTCTGTGGGCAGTGTGCCAAGCTGGTCCTCCTCGCCTCGATTTCTCTTTATCTGCAATCTCGCGGAAGAAAACTCCATGTTTATTCCTTTCCAGCCATAGGACAAGCTTTTCCCCATCTGGCTCAACACTGAGGAATGCTTTCCCTGGGTCTCCAGATGCCCAGAGACCCAGGAGGCTGGCGCGTCCGGGGGCACGGAGGCTGCGCCTTCCTCCCCAAATATCCCGTTAGGTCATTCTTGCTCCCGCCACAAGAATCTTGACAAACTGGGAATCGTAATGTGGTAACGAATGACAGGTTATCACAGGCAAATAGGAAATTGAAAGTTCAAGCGAAAACAAAGTCGGAGGTAACAGCCCAGACCAGGCAAGCCCACAGGGGAATTTCTTTGTCCCCCAGGCTGTGGGGGGCTCACCTGGTGACATGTGGCAGGAGGAAACTGGTGCTGGTTGGAAGGATGACTTAGAGCATTGAGAGAATATTTTAAGCACAAAATATTTAAGGAATATTTTAAAATATTTTAATTTTCTAATGTTTATTTTTGAGAGAGAAAGGAGAGACAAAGCACAAGCGGGGGAGGGTCAGAGAGAGAGGGAGACACAGAATCCGAAGCAGCTCCAGGCTCCGAGCTGTCAGCACAGAGCCCGTCGCGGGGCTCCAGCTCACGAGCCGTGAGATCGTGACCCGGGCCGAAGTCGAACAATTAACCGACCGAGCCACCCAGGCGCCGCAGGAATATTTTAAAGATTTTAATTAATTTAGTGATTTATCAAAGTCTGAGAAAGGAAATAGTCCTAAAATAAATGATGTTTCATTAGTTCTAGAACTGTGATTAGCCACGATGGATTATGGTTAATTATTAATAACCACGATTAGCCATGTAACCACTTGATTCCCGGTCACTGAAGGGCACAGAGGTACAATCTTGTTTGCTCTATTTGCAAAGTAGGTCTTGGATCCACCCAGACTTTGTTATGGGGAAGGGTGAGAAGAGCTCTACAGGAGTTTCCTGTCTGGGCTGCACGCCCAGGGCCCTCCCGGCCTCCTCCGGGCCAGACCCTCCCTCCGCAGTGGGCTCTCGGTGTCCACTCGGGGCACCCTGACATCTGTGTCCAGGGACGGCGACAATGTGCAGAAGTACTTGGAAATCCTGGGCCGGAGAGCCTCCTGTGCCTCCATGACCCTCCGAGGCAGAGACCCCCTCAGTCGGGCCCCCCACGGATCCCTGGAGTAGACGATGGGGGGAGGGACTCGTGAGAGACGTTTTGCCCGATGTAGCCTCTTTTCTTCCTTGAGAAAAAGGAAAAACGTTCAACAGTGTTGTTCTGAAATTAAAAAGCTGCCTCTTCAGACTTTGTTGGAAGACACAACGGAGTCCGTCTGGGGCCCCAGACGGGCTGCACCAGGTCTGGCTGTGCCTGGGGTCGGTGGGCTCCACCTTGGCACGCCGCTTCCGGAGGACCCGACATCCGCCCTGCTCCAGGCCTGCCCACCCTGCCCGGAAAGCCTGGGGTGAATGTGCCACGTCAGCCTTGGGGCTGAGAGAAAGGGGGTGGCCGAGCCTCGTGTCCCGGACATCGGGAGAACCGCCAACCCCGGGCCACCGCGTGCGCACGGAGTGGGAAAGGGACCGCCGGTCAGCGCCAGTGAACACCCTGGGAAGGCCGAACGTGCTCCCCGGGGAAGTCTGTCCTCCTCCGAGCCCTCACCCGCGCATTTCCCTCCCAGCGGCTCGGCTCCTGAAACGAACACTGCTCCCTCTGCTGCCTGCACTCGCCCCTGCCCAGGCACCGTGCCCGTCACACGTCACCTCTCTACAGAGGCCCCCACTGACGCCTCGGTGGCCCCTCCACGCTGTCACCGTGCTTTACGTTCTTCACAGAGGGGTCACTCCCGGGTGCTCCCTGGTGCGTGCGGGCGAGGACCGGCCACCTCTCAGCCCCTAACTACCCCAAGCTTAGGGGAACAGGGACCCGGAAGTTGCTGGCAGGTGCCCACAGGACGGAGGCATCCAAGATGTCCAGTGATGAGAACCAAAAGTCAGTCATTGAGAGAGACGCAGTGTGACAGAAGGAACGGCCGTGCCGCACGGGCACGCGGGAATAGAGGGCTGGCGGCCTTGGGGTCACCCTGGGTGAGGTGGGTGGCAGGGACGGGAAGCATGGCCTCGATCAGTACAATGCTGAGCCGTTGACAAGGTCCTTGCTCTTACCGTGTCAGCCTAAGGGCATGTCTCCCTCACAGAAGATGACGCTGAAACCCAAAGAATCGCAGAAATGTGACCAGGACACACACCCGCCTCGCGCCCAGGGCGGCGGAGCCGGACCCGTCAGGGCACCGCCCCCACAGAAGGTGAGCTCCAAGGCTGGCCCCCGCAGAGGCCGGGACTCCACCTGGACGACGGGGGAGAGGACGTGCCCTGTGGGAGACGCTGAGGTCCGGGCTGAGTCTCGCTGGCATCGGGCCCGGGGCCCGGAAAGCAAGCGGGCGCGGGCAGCGGAGGGTTCTGTGCAGCCACGCGAGCCGAGAGCCGCCAGTCAGAGAAGAGCGGCGGCGTTGGACAGCGGCCCTCCCGGAGCACCTGGGTGACACTCGCCTACAGAAAGATGGCCAAGGAACCAGCGAGCGGCCCGGGTTCACACGAAGACGTGAGCGGCGGCCGGCGGTTCTCGACCAGACGCGGGTCCGGTTGGGCCCCTGAAGGCGCCACCCCAGAGAGCACAGGCGCGAAAACGTGGCAGCCTGGGCCATCGGCCAGGCCGAAGTGGAGAGAGAAGTCGGCTTTATGCTCCAAGAAGGGTTGAGAATAGGCCCCCAGCAACTTTGTCTGGCGGAATTGCACGTTTAGGCTTATGCCTGTGCTTTGCATTGGAAAAGCTCCAAGTATTTTACGACCTGAAAACGTATCGTCTTGCTGTTTGTTCTCAGTACCGCGTCTGTAACCTCTCACAACATTTTTTAAAAATCCCCCTTTGGGAGTGAAGAAATAAATGTTATTCGTTATGACAATTACCGCATTATGTTTATGCATCCCCCTGACAAAGAGTTTGTAACAGCAAGCGGACGCGTCTCCCGGAGGCCGGATGAGGTTTCCACGTGCACCGCATGTGGCCAGTGGTGGCACCACAGATGTGGGACAGGCGTCCAGGAGTTGAGGCTGGAGCCGAGGACGGTACCGAGAGACAGTGGCGGACCCGGTATCCGAGCTCCAGACCACGTGGTCTCCAGCGCACAGACACGCGGGATCTGTGGGTCCCGTTTTGTTTCCGGCTTCCCTGAAAGCGGCCGAGGTGCGGGCCCCCCGCACGGAGAGGCCAGCCCGTGACAGAGGGCGGTCCGCTCACTTCAGGGGACAGCAAACAGTCCTGCTTGGTAGAGTTGGACCATCTCTCATCAAAGGAACCTCCCAGAACCCGCGTCTTACTTGACCCTGAGAACTGACCGTGGTTGGGAGCGCGTGCTTCTCAGGGCGAGCTGGAGAGTGACAGGGAGCACGCCGGTGGCACGTGTGCTGGCAGGAGCTGGGTGTTCCAGGTCAGTGACGCCCCCTCCTCCCTCCGTGGCCGCCCGTCCTCCACCACCCCCCCTCCGAGACGGCAAACCTCGCGGGGCTCAGCTGTCGGCCACCCCAGGCGCCCCGTCCGCACCCACAAGCTTCTTCACCAAAAGCCCTGGATTCTGTGTCACCTTTGGGTTAGAATCACGGTTCTGTTCTTCCCCGAAAGGTTCAGAGTTTGCAGGTGGGTTTCCTCGTCACCGCTGATGGCGGCAGGTGGACTATGAATTGGATACGATGTCGCAAACGACCGTCACAGACGGGCCTCATCGTGGGTTCCGTGGCTCGAACCACACGCAGCGTTACGGCAGCCTGGGGAAGGACGCTCGCCTCTTCCAGGAGGGCCTCACGCGGGCTGTGCCTTCCATCCAGCATGGCGCCCTCCTTGTTCTTCCCCGAGGCTCTGGAGCACGTTCCCAGGGCGGGGAGTGGCTCCCAGGCTGCAAGAACGTCTCCTTACGGATCGAATTATGAGTATGCCTCATGCACTGGTTTCACTTCCTCGGGAAAGTTTACAGATTCGCAGCAAACTTTTGAGGCAAAGTTTCACGGAGAAGTTCAGAGAATTGAAATACTTCCATTCTCCACCCTCCCCTCTTGCCATAAAACGCCACCTTTCCTCAAACACCACCTAGAACGCGAATGCCTCTCGGTGACGGGGAGACTCGTGTGCAAATGTGGCCGGATTGTTCCTGCGGATACAACCCTTGATAATATTCTGAAGACCTCGGTTCTCAAGCTCTCTGAGTTAATGGTTCTGGGACATCATTGAACAGAGACAGCTTCTAACGGAGGACCAGGGCACCAGGCTCGTGCCGGGGACCGGAGCCTCGCAACCCCCTCGGAGCCCAGAGACGAAAGCTGCATCCAGCCGCTCAGCCAGACCCCGGCCACTTGGGCACTTTCATTTTCTCTTCGCCTCCTCGTCAGACGCGGCATCGGGACCAGTCCACACCGCGGGAGCCCGGTCCTGACCTCGTCCACACCGAGCCTCCTCTGTGCCTCCGGTGTCCTCCCGCGGTCCCTTCTGCTGTTAGCACGCCAGCAAGCATGGCTTCCCCAGACGCCCCAGTCACCCCGCCTCACCCCATAAACCAGCAAGACCCTCCACTCTCCTCGCTACGACTTTTCCCAAACCCACTAATTGACCCCGCCCTGGCCCCCCCGCCCTGTTGGATGCTGGTGAGGCTCCCGTGGGTGCAGGTGCCTCTGGAAGTGTGGTCACCGCACTCTTGGCCAGTGGGGAGACACCGGGGGGGGGAGGGACAGGACCCAGCCTCTGGTCTCCAGGCGGGGAGACCCCGGGGGGGCAGGACTCAGCCTCTGGTCTCCAGGCAGGGAGACCCCGGGGGGGCAGGACTCAGCCTCTGGTCTCCAGGCGGGGAGACCCCGGGGAGGCAGGACCCAGCCTCTGGTCTCCAGGCGGGGAGACCCTGGGGGGGGGGCAGGACCCAGCCTCTGGTCCCAAGCGGGGAGACCCCGGGGGGACAGGACCCAGGCTCTGGTCTCCAGGGCACCTGCCAGCATGGCTTCAGGCACCAGAGAGTCAGTTTGACATCAGCGGGGTGTGGAGGGTGGCCAGGTCAGCAGGATGGAGACGTGGCCACTCCCCAAGTCTGTCTCCCGCAGTGGCTTTCAGACGGGCTCATGGCAGAGCAGGGTGGCCATGAGGGGCCCCGGCTCCTCAGCTCCCGCCTCCTCCAGGCTGGCCATCAGCTGGGCCAGATGCCGGGACTATGCCAGCACACCTGCCTTGCCAGCTGGGCCCTGCTGGGCTGGGCCTGGGAGGCTCTGTTGGTGGAGGGGGCTGGGCAGGAGGAATGACCCTGTTTCTCCCGGGTGGTTCCAGGTCCCATGGTGTCCTGCACCCCATGGTGGGGTTCCTTCTGCAGGGTCACTGCGTCGGGGGACACCAGCCCGGCAAGACCCCACCCTGCCCAGAGGAGCCAGCACCAAAGGACCCGTCCCTCCTCCGGGTCCCCGTTTTTGCAGACCTGACCTCGTGCGATGGCTCCCGCGTTTCCTCACGTCAAGGCTTGGACTTGAGCTCACACAACAGTCACCAAAAGGTTTTAAGCAGGTAAGAAACGTCCCCAGGGTTCTGTTTTCAAGAAATCGTCTATCCGTTAGGCAGAGAACAGAGGGAAGTCGGCTGAGGGGGGGCGGGGAGGGGGCCGGGAAGGAATGACCGGTCTCTCGTACCTCCAAGTGGCCTAAGTTACAGGACGTGGCACCAGGGGAGACCACCCTCTGAGACTTTTCCTTACAAAAAGCGATGCCACACAGATCGTGGCAACGGCACATTTCACAAAAAGCCTTGACTTTCAAACAAGAGGCTTGGATGATTCAGGGTAGCGTTCACTCACCCTAGCAACGGTCTGTTACAGCTCAAGAGGAGTGAAGGGGGAAGGGTGTCATCTCTACTGAGCGCGGGGCTCCCGCTGGGCCTGTGTGAGGGGAGGTCTGCTGCCCACGGTGCTTTGCCCTCAGCGTGTGCAACGGACACGCTTCACCACAACCAAGGGGACACGAAACTCCTGTAAGCTCCTGGGATGAGGCTCCTTTTTCCATCCCAGACGAACGGGAACAGATATTTGTGGGGTTTTGTTCACTTACCTCGCCCAGAAAGCCTGGTATTCGTGCTTTAACGTCACTGATGCAGAAAGGCCGACACTGTTTTTATCACCGGGGACAAGGAGACAGGTCAGCAGCGGCCGTGACATGTGGCGCAGACGTGGGCCAGGCAGAGCCTCTCGAACCCGAGCCGCAGGCCAGTGAAAGCCACGTCCCCCCAGAGCGCGGGTGGTGGCCGCGCAGCGGGAAAACCATTTCTGTGGCCTGTTGATCGTTCGCGGGGCTCGTCCTGTTTTATGGCTCTGGTTTTGACGGCTCTCTTACTCAGCAGAGGGTATGTCCCATGAGCCGCCGCGGTGGGGCAGGTTTGCAGGTGTTCCGGAAGCCAGGGCTGACGTCAGGGTGTCTGCGAGACGCGGCCCGGCCGGTCGCGGCCAGGCCTTCCCTGACGCGGGCGCCTCTGTGTTCACCCGGCCTCTGCGCCTCCTGAATGGGTTGTGACTACGACCCAGAGCCTCCAGACCCTCTCAAGCCCCTGCCCTCAACTCAGACGTCTTTGCCGTCGGATACAAAATACACGGAATTTGGTGCCTTTGTTGCTAACCCTTGACGCCGTCTTTCATCCAACGTGTCTGCATCATACCGTCCTTGGCGACATGGCACTGAGCATAGGTGACTGTCAAATATCCCACACTTTGTAACCAGATTTCACTTGTGCAGCCGCCGAGGAAACCCTACATCACGGGTGCAGGTCAAGCCCGAGTCCGTAAGGGGGCTGAGCTCACCTGCCAGCTTCTCAGGGAAGCTTCCTGAGCTCAGCCCCAAAGGACAGGCCTCCGTAGACAGAAGGGCGGCCGACCCTAGGTGACATGACCGTGATCTCCTGGCCTCCCCTCCCCCGGCTGCTCGACCCCAAGGCACGTTCAGGGCTGCATGACCAGGAAAAAGCGCCCACTACGTGCAGAGTCTGCATCAGGCGTGTTACAGTCTGAATAAGAGTCGAGAGGTTTCACCTTTCCTCTTGGTCTCTGGAAAACCTCAGCACGCATGGGCATGGCGAGGGGACAGCATCTAGAGCTGCTGCTGGAGGTAAATCTGTTCGTGACAGTCAGGGCCTGCCTGCCCCCGGGGCCCTGCCCAGGACACAAGGTGCAGATTTACAACCAAACCTGTTTTCCCAAGGTAACCGGGGCCATTTCCACTGCTGACACCTGTCCATGCACAAGCAATAAGGTCCCTGTTCCTGGTTAACTTCTGTCTCGTGAAGGACAGAATCACAAGCAGATGCTGGAGTACAACGTAGTAAGCACTCCACTGCATTTGCGAAGCGAAGTAGCCTTGAAATTGTAGAAAACTGTAAGCCCATCTCAGTGGGCCCGGTATAGACGTGACCCACCATAGCGGTAGCTTTTCTATTCCAGTCTGTCACCCAAACAGTAAGTGATATGGATGGATAAATCACAGAT